TCTATGAATATTCAATGTCAAAATCTATACATTCTGAAAATATATGGTCTCCAACAATATTTTAAATTGCTATATTAAAAGACACATTGCTCAGTTATCTCAGAGCATGCTGCTGTTATTTGCTAAGCCATTGTTTAAAGCACTTTTGAACAGAAAGTCCTTCAGTAATATATATTGATACCCATCACGACGTAAGTTAAGATGAATGAAAAGGCAGCTTTGATTTACAAATGATAAATACTGAATTTATAGACTTAATTGATGACTGTAAGACAGTGGAGTCATTAAAATTCTCATAACTATATGCACTATTTATAACTCATTTAACTTGTATTTGGTGATATATTTTTTGAGCAAGGCTTCATTTGTCCTCATACCTTCATGTGACAGCCGGGAGGACAGAAGACGCCAGTCCCACCTGCCCAAGCTGGAGGGGGCAGAGGACTAGGAAGCGACACCCTGGCAAGCAGCAGACCCAACGTTACTTGATTGCTTAGGAAAGCGTGAGAGGTGGACACATGCGCTTCATTGTTCTTTTCAGATCTGCCAAGAGAGAACACCACTGTGGTGACTTTATGTGGTGACTGAGACCACAAAGCCAGGGGTCAGCACGGTGACCTGCAACCAATTAGGCAGGTTTGGCTGTTCCCATCTACTGCTTTTTTATGTATGTATGTTTTCTTTTTACAGTAAAGGTGATGTACGGAGGGGTTATAGGTCCCTGAGTCAGATAATGAGCACGTTTCCTTTTGAACACCCCTTCCTTCACTCTCTACCAGTTTTTCCCTCCCGTCCCCACCCACAAATGTTCAATTGTTTGAAAATGTTTAAATTACCAAAATCTGCCTTTCTAGCTTCTTGGTGTTTCTCTAAAAGGACAGTGAGAGTTCAGCTGAGTGACTCATTCTTGTGTTCTCCACGCTCCGCCCTCTCTGTGTTCCTTCCTGCATCTTCCCGTCACGAGCTGCTGAGTCCTGGTGCTGCATTTGAAAATGACTTTTCATTTTATGGCAAACACTAGCACAGTTATTGTGTAAATGCTTACCATCAGGCTTCTGAAGAAAATGCTGTCTGAATGGACAGATGTCAGAATTTGCTGGAAATGGTTAGTCACAGACTTGAATGCTTGTTACCACATGAAGAAATCATGTTTCCTAAAATCCATATGCAATCTCTAGCTTTTAATTTTTAAAATCCCAACCTACTTTGTTGAGACTCCCAATTTTGTGTTAAATTGTATAATTAAAAACAATCCTTTCTTGTTCATAGAGTGGTGTCTTAAACTGGTAGAACTCTAGCCCTGAGCACAAAAAGCTCAGGGATCGAGCCAAGGCCTTGAGTTTAAACCATCTCACTGGCAAAAAAAAAAACCAAACAAAAAATCCTTTCTTAATAGAATCTTAAATGACACAATTTTTCCTTTTCTTTTCACTTAGACTGAGTGAAAGCGATTCTGTTTTGAGAAAACAAACATATAGCTTGATTTTAATTAACCACATAATCAATATGCTAATAAAATTTCTGAAAGTAAATTTCATGTAGAATTGGCATAAAAATATACACAATATTGGCCACTAGAGGGCTTCAATAATTTTTATAAATGAGTCTGACATGTGCCAATGAAGTTTTAAGTATAAAATTACAACGTTTTATCTGGGATTATATTATATGAAACATGAAATATTTTTATTGAAATGTTAAACTTAATGTGGGGAAAGAGGTAGTGTAGTTTCATAAATTAAATGTTTTACATTTTTTCCTATGTTCATTGCCCTCACATTTTAAGCGTTAGAAAATATTGTACAGTTTGCTGCTTCTAGTATCATACAACAATATTTACAATCCCTTTGAGTGCCCTTTTGGTAAAACTAAAAAACAGGAGATTTTTGTTGTAAACACTCTGTCCTCACAAAGAAAAAATAATGACAAAGCCTTTTGTGGACTTAGCAACAGAGTCAGGGGCATGAAAGATTACTTTTCAAAATTCATCCGATTTAAAAGACAAAATGTGATGAAAACATTCCTTGATTTTCAACATATGCATAATTTGTCTTTATAAAATGTCTCTAAAGCCATGACAGTGAAGACAGCATCCTGGAAGGCCTATTCTACAGCAATTCCAAATTTGAAATTCTCTCTTCTCCTTTCATCTTGTTTATTCTGGTTCCCTAAATTAGACATGAAAGGCTATTTTAAAATATGATACCGCTTGCTCCATTATGAATGCTGGAACATGAGTTCAGGAAGAATATCATAATGCTTGCATACCTGGGTGAATCCAAGGATAATGTCTGCAGATGCATTAACGCTAAGTACACTCCCTTTGTAATTGAGTGAGAGTAAGTAGTTCCAAGTTCAGGAAGATATTCTAAAGATGGGCATTAGAGATTTTCAAATTTTTTTACAGATGCCAAGATAATGTAATAGAGACTCCCATTAGCATCATTTTCCATAATTTCCATAATGTTTTTTAATGACTTGCTTTATGGCAATGTCTTTTTACTTCTTCGTGACTCTGCAAAATCCGAACATCTTCACTGGCTGTCCTTAAGTCTTTTACGGCTGCCTGTGTCCTATGGGATAAGTTCAAATTTATCCCGTGGATATTGATGAACCCCTGGTATGTTTGCAGCTCTTCACTTGCATTGCTTTGTATTTCTGTCTTTACAGCTCCTCCTCCTAGCTTCCCCTTTTGTCTCCAGTGTTCATACTTTTCGAGAACCATATCATCACACCCCCTCCATATTAGATAGAACTCTACTTTTGACACTCTTTTCCTTCTTGTACTTTCCATTTTACTGTGTATGAAATTCTCTTCTATTTTTTTAAAAAAATCTTTTAAAGTTCAGCTATGAAAGACACTTTCTCTCTTCCTATTCTAAATTAAGTAGGGAAATAGTGCTAAGGAAAAAAGATCCAATTTTACTATCAAACAATTAGAGTCTTAATTACAACTACATTGAAGACTCCTACCTTCAAGCCCACCCGTGCTCTCATCGATAGAAACATTTCTAGTGATGACCCTCTGATATTCTGATAAATGCTATTATTGTCACGGTGCAATCACACGTTTTAAATATGGAGATAGTTTGTGATTTTTTTTTACCAATAATTTAATATTTTAAGTAGTTTCTAAAGAAGTCAAGCACAGAATAGTATCATTTAAGTATCATTAGCAGAAATTACATACCAAACATTATCTCTATATCTAAGTTGTAGAAAGATGTAAAAAAAAAGCCGAAGTGTCAAGTTAATATAAATTGAGTTTTTGTACTAGTACATGAGCTTTGAAAAAGAGCTTGGGTTCTGTTCCTTAGCTTTTTCGCTCTATGTCTTGATCCACAGCACCACTTCTGGAGTCTACCCGACTTCCTGTCCAGGCTAGCTTCAAGTTGCAATCTTCAGATCTCTGCCTCCTGAATACCTTGGTTTAGGCATGAGCTCCTGGCATTGGCCAATTTAAATATTTCTTTAAATTCAAGTAGATGAAAGGGTATCATTTAAGTATTTCCCCTCACAGAAAGCTATCTGTGGGAATATTTTACACATCTTAAATGGATGTGTGTTTGTATGTTTGAAAAATAGAGAAATTAGTAATAAATGGCTTAAGGGCAATTTCATTATTTCAGAATTTCATAGGAATGCAGAGAACTGAAATCAGTGAGTAGCACATGCATGTGAAAGGTACTTTATTCCCACACTTTCCCTTTCAGTCATTTATATTTATTCATTTAGTATGCCTTTCCTATTCCAGCTATAAGACAGATTCACTGAGCTCTGGGAGATTATAGTCTAACCAAGGAGACAAAACATTAATGAACTAATAATCATGGTGTCATAGGATAGTGATGATGGGAAGAAAACAAAACCTGACTGTAATCAGAAATAGGCTTTGTGGAAGTTTCTGAAGCAAAGGTCTGGAAGTGGAGCTGTGGCTCAGCTGGGGTGACTCCCGTTCTTTCTGGGGGAAGCTTGGAGCAGGGGCTCTTCTACCAGGGGCTCAGCTAACCTTTCAGGACTCTACCCTCCTTCCCACTGGGTACTGGTCTCTTCCTGTCACGTGACTGTGCTTCCTCTCGCAGAACCTGGCAGTTGGATCACGTGTCTGATGATCTAGTGGCGGTCAGTGCTGTCTAACAGATTCCCTGTTCAGTCACAGCAGTGTTTAGTTTTTGTGTCTTATCTTCTTGACATTTGATGCGTACTTAGAACGCAGCACTGTAGAGAACTACACACCCCTCACCTGGAAACCATCTCTACACCCTCGGGCTCTGAGTCTTCTTTCATTTGCTTCCGATATGATGAGTACACAATACGATCGCCGAGAACAGTCCTCTCCACGGCCCGCGTTCATGTTCCCAGGATCCAGACTGCTCCATTTCCGTCCACTGAGTCATCGAGCCTCCCACTAAAGTGGCCACACAGCCCACTAGACGTAGGGAACGTACGAACACTGTGGTCATGTGTGGGTAGCTTCTGGAATGTTTCCTCCAGAATAATCGAGCAATTCCTCATGAATGAGTCTCCGACACCAAGTAGGAAACAAACTACTCCTGCAGGGAATTCGGATCTTACCCCTGGCCGACACGCAGAGATCGTCCCAGAGGCGGTGAGAACAGGCCGCCGCGCGGATTGAAACCCTGACCAGTATTCGTCTTCCTGTCTTTCCCCGCTTTTGGAGGCTGGTTTTCCATGCGGGGAAGAACCAGGAGGGCAGGCCGGTGGGCTGCACAGCTGGTCAGGCCCGGCCGTGTGCGGTCAGGGGAGCGCAGGGCGCACGCAGGCCCTGGGCTGGCGGCACCGGCCGCGCTGCCCGGAGCCGGCCAGGGCGTCGTCTGGGCGCGGCTTTCGCACCAGCCTCTGCCCGGCTGCGCGTCCCGTCTGCAGCCGAGACCGAGGTTGCACCCGAGCCGCCGGATCGCACCCCGGGCCCGCGGAGGGACGTCCTCAGGGCCCCGCCCCGTCGGTCCCGCCTCACCCCTGTCTGCTCTCTGCCCTAGGTCGTGGACCAGATTGACACGTTGACCTCTGACCTGCAGCTGGAGGAGGAGATGACGGACAGCTCCCGGACCGACACGCTCAACAGCAGCTCGAGCGGCACCACGGCCTCCAGCCTGGAGAAGACCAAGGAGCGCGCCAGGGCCCCGGCCCCGGCCTGCGCGGTGCTCACCGTGCTCCGGAAGCCCAACCCGCCGCCGCCGCCGCCCCGGCTCACGCCCGTGCGGGGCGCGCCGCCCGCAGGGGGCGACCCCGCCGCCCGCCCGGCCCGCCCCCGCGGCGCCCCGAACGGAGACGCGTGCGGCCTGCCCGGCGGGGCCGCCGACCCGGCGCCCGGCGCGGACCGGTGCCCGCAGGCCGCGCCGCGGGAGCGCGTGCGGTTCAGCGAGGACGTGCAGTACCACGGCTGCTGCCCGGGCTGCGACGCGCGGCGGACGCGGAGGGAGCGGGAGGGCCGCGCGCCGTGCGCCCCGACGCCGCTGCCGGCGCCGGGCAGGACGCCGCCGCCGTGCGCCCCCCGCGCGCCCCGCGCCCCGACGCCGCCCGGCAGGACGCCGCCGCCGGGCCCGAGCCTCCCCCGCCCTCCCGCCGCCCAGCCCCCGCCCTTCCCGCTGGAGAACGGCGGCCGCTTCCCCCCGCCGCGCCCCGCGGCCCTGCCTCCCCCCGCGCCCCCGCCGCACAAGACCATCCTGAGAAAGTCCACGACCACCACCGTGTGACCCGCCGCCCGGGGCTGCCGCGGATCCCAGACGGGGAGGCCCCAAGTTACCGACCAGCCGGGGCGAGCGGAGCCCAGCTCGGCAGTGGGTTAGTCGGGGGCGAGCAAGGGCTTGGTGAGCTCGCGGCCCACCGCGCGCGGCCTGCAAGGCCGCGGACCCGGGGGAGCCCCCGCTGGCCGGGTTCCGGCGGCCCGAGGAGGCCCCGCAGGCCGGGTTCGGAGGCTGACCTCTGCCCACCTTCCCTGGAGATGCAGATGCTTTTATTTATGGTGAGAGCAGGCTTGGGCCTCGGTTGGGCCTCGTTGGTGGAGGATGGACCTGGGACCCGCGCCCGCCCCACCCAGCTATGCACTTCCACACGCCACGCTCCCTAACTTTGAAATTATACTTTTTGATAAGAGATTTTTTTAATACCGAAGGACTATTTTATTATGCTTTTCCAGAAGATGTTTGTCACTAGTTTTACATTACTCAATGCTGAGACAATACCAAAAAGTTTATTTTCTCTACTATATCGTTACGAATTACACATTCAGATAGAGGTAATACTGCATTTTCATCGGTGGGAAAAGCCTCGTGTCACCAAGTGGTCGTAGCCAATGCCCAAACCAAACGTTTCCCCAGAATTAAATGAAAGAAGTGGTTCATTTTATCCCATGTCCATATATTCAATGACGAGTTTGGACACGTTCACGGTGGATGCATATCAGAGCTTTCTAAACTGATAGCATCATCCATGTTGTAAGGGTATCTTACACACTGGGATAACAATTCAGTTCCAGGCTGATCCTTCTAGAATTATCTGCTGAACTCATTATGCTCAGCCGCCCTCCTTCCCAGCCTCCTTGCTGAATGATGTGCATTATACACCAGCCAATTGAAGCTGTGATTTTCTTGCCATCTACATCAGCAAGCTCTCTGCCTTCCTGAAAGCATCCAGATTTATGGGAGAATTACAGGAGAAAATGTCGATGTTTCTGGCAATAAGAAGTAATCAGCAGCAGCCCTAAACGTTTTTCTTTGGAATTGAAAGCTGTCATAGTTCTTTGCTACTCCAGGCAGAAAGAGGGAAGGTTTGTTTGTTTGTTTGTTTTCTTGTTTCTTTTTCTTTTACTGTCATTTAAAAGTCCTTCTTTTCAGAAATCTGACTACTCATAAGCCAGTCTGAGTTCCCGACAGCACTGATTTGGATAGAAATGATGTTTTGCCCTAGAGTTAAATTTTTTCAGGTTACTTTTTCTCCTTTGAGTCATAAGAAGAAAGAGTGGTGGAGAACATTTTGGTTCTTTAAGTGGTCAGAAGAGAGGGAGTTGTGTTAAGTGGAAGTTCATTCACTGGGTAACTTGAAGAATGCCACGATGTTTAGGTTGTTTTTATTTAATTTCTGAGGTAGTCTTCAGTCTTGCAAAAATTTCAGGCCATATTGTAGTAATTTGAAATACTGTTTTTAAGCAGCTTTCTATGAAAAGATGATAATGTATTTTTGAAAGAATATATAAAAAGAAAATGGGCTTTATTTTTCAAGGAATGAGAAAATGAAGAACAGAATGTCATGTTAAACATTGACTCGACATGGAAATTTTTCTTTATGTTTTGCATATAGAGGTAATGAAACCAGAATTATCCAACTTTCCAGAAAGTTGTGAAACACAGAATCTATAACCAAGAGAGGACATAATCTATAAGTTATAAAATGTATCACTGTATTTAAAACTTATGAAGATGTGACAAAGGTAAATAAATGATTAACATGTTGAATGCAAAACTAATGTGTTCTTAATTATTTTTGTATGGGAAAACAAAGCCAAGAGCCTTGTGCCTGCTAGCAAATGTGTTATCCTTGAGCTACCTCAGTCCTTTGGATTTTTTTGCGGCGAGGTTCCATACTGTGTAGACCAGGTTGACCTTGAACTTGGGATCCTACCGATTCAGCTTTCCAAGTGAGGGGATTACAACACTCCACTTTTTACTGTAAACACTCACCATGTGTATTCCTTTTATCATTTTTCCAGGATTAAAAATTACTGTGTTTCATATGACCTCCAAGTACTGCACCAGTTGAGTTTGTAAACAGTCATGGAGGACATGAAGGTTTTGTTAAATTTTAGATTGTCTTCCTTTTCCTGCCAGTGACATAATAATTACCTCAGAGTTTGAAACTTACACCTTTTGATGTTTGAGAACTAAGGTGGATCTCAAGGTAGAACTTCCATGGAATCACAAATCTTTCACATAACAGATTGTTTGCTTGTAGTAAAACCAGTTGACTGTGTTATATTATTAAAGCTGGGTGAGTAAGGAATTAGCCAGATACGTTTGCAAAGCATAGACAAAGATTTGCCATGAAAGACCATTTCACTGTTGGATGGATGATCTATGGCTAAACTACACTTGTTTTAAAATTAACTTATTTATAATATTTTCCTAGAAAATTGAGTGAAATCAATAAAAATGTAATTTTTATTATATTGCAATTTATAATCAACATTAAATGTTAGATTACAACAAGATTGCTCTTTCACTTAGATTATTTTACTTCTGGTTATTTCTTTTTTTTTATTAATGTATGAATATATGTGCCAATGTAAATTTTGCCCAACAGAAAATTATACAGCATTCAGTAGAATTTAGTATTTGAATTGGCATAAATTTGTAAAACATGAAAGCAATTAGCAGAGCACCCTATTTTCCGGAAGCATGTACTCATATCATAAATGGCAGTGCTGTTTTGTAATCAGCTAACATTGCTTTCAGAATTTGAATAATTTGCAGTGCATGCTCTGCACATCACACACAGAAGCATGATAAGGCATGGTCACACTTTTCCCGTCCCAGAGATCTCAGGTAAGAATGGTCCTAGTCATCTGAGAGCAGCTGCTACACTTCTGTCTACATGTAATGTGTACAACAGAACGGTACTCACACTTGAGTGAAGGTGGTGTGCTTACAAAAGTTCAAGAGGCAAAGCACTGATGATACCATTTATTCATAGTGCAAAAATGCTGCATAGCCACATACGTAGGGTATTCTTCAATGAATAATACCCTTCAATGAAGTTTCTTTTAGCTTAAGAGATTAAACTTCTTTTGATGAGAGAGAGAAAGAAGGTTGGAAAGGAAATAAAACAAATTTAAGTCCTCATTAAGTATAAAAATAGCTTAAAACAAATACAAAGATATGTAAGCAAAGACTAACCCACTCTTTGAATCTGACATTATTTGTATACCTCTCATTCATAAGTTTAATACTTTTATGAGACTAATCTGTTAGCAGAAGCAACTTAATTAACCTAAAACATTCTTAAATTTGGACTATACAGCTTATTATTTAATGAACCAAAGAATAAGACACAGAATTTTATGGTTTTCTTTACACATATCAGTACTTGCTTGTAGCATGGTCAGCTGGCTACGCAGTTCCTGGAATTACACAATACCTTTTATCTAAAATTCTAATTGTAGCACTTTGGGGACATGCCATTATTTAAAATCTGAGTATTTATGCATACAATTGCACTGGAAATTGTGTAAACAAATCATTCATCACTCTCTTGCCTGAATTTTCCATGGAATATAAGTGATAGTGTGATGCAGTTACTCCTATTTATCATGCAGATTTGCTTTCTTCTCATTGTCTAACAGTTACGTAAATATAAGGTGTACACTGAATTGTAGCAAAAGACTGCAGTGTAATTTATGTTGATAAAATACTGATGATTTCTCAGTAAGGAAATGGTCTATGAACAATTCAGCTCTGAAAGTGCTATCATCTAATTAGGGAAAGGGCATGAAGGCTGACAATTACTAGACATTATCACAAAATCACATGGCACTTCTCAAGCCAATGAGTAGCTGTGACACTGTAATTAAGTTTTGAGAGTAAACATTTTAGAGTTTTAAAATCATTTATATTGCATAATTGTGTGATATGACAGATGTGGCACTGGCATTAGATAGTGCACAGCAGCTTTGAACATAAAACAGCAGTTATCTACATCTCCCTGGGAGCAGTGATTAGGTTTGGTGCCATTTCCTTTGAAGCACTTCAATTTATCATGCTAGTCTTTCGTGAAGAAGCAAAAGTATAACGTAAAGAAGTTTTGTAAGTAACCCTCCCTTACACTTAGCTCTGGTACTATTTGCATGGTATAATGACTATAGCTCATTATGTACACATATTTTGAAGAGCTACAGGAAAGCACTTTTGAAAGTTTGGCCGCAAATCAAAGATAAATGAGGAAATAAATGTGTAAAGCAATTTTAACATTACGCAATGTATAATTGTATCCAATACATAATGCACTATTAATATGTACAACTTATGGTTTATTTCTGAATTAAAAATTAAAATGCAGATAAATCCAAACGTGATATGGAATTATGTGAATGACAAAGGAAAGTAATGAAGAAATATTTCTTACCAAAATTGTATTTTCAGAGCTAAGTGCCAGTTGCTCACACCTGTAATCCTAGTTATTCAGAGGCTGAGATCCAAGGATTGTAGTTTGAAGCCAGCCTGGTCAAGGAAGTCTGTGAGACTCTTTATCTCCAATTAACCATCAAAAAAGCTGGAAATGAAATTGTATCTCAAGTGGTAAGGTACCAGTCTGGAGTGAAATAGGTAAGGGATAGTTTCTCAGCTCTAAGATCAAGCCCCAGTACTGACACACAAAAGAAGAAGATGCAGCTTCATGAATGAACAAAAATAGGTAGTCTAAGGTATAAACACCTTTCTAGATCTTCACATACATAAAGTCACTCTAATACTAAAATATAAAATAACATGGTTTATACATGCAAAGCCTAAAACTTCACAATTTTGACAAAATACTCTCTTCGTAAGTACCAGGCTGACATCTTATGATCACATGAATCCCTGTGATTGTTTTACCTTTCAATCATTATAATTTTGTTGTGTTCTTCATATCACTGAGGTATGCAGATTTTTTTTCCTGAGCACTTATTTTGACACTTGGAAAGGGTTACTTCATGTTGTTTTGA